CGCAAATCCGTTCAACTTTTTAATTCCGGCTTGCTTCCGCAATATAATCCCGACCAAGTAAAACAACTGCTTCACCAAACTAATCCGGAAGAAATTAAAGCCAGTCTAGAATTGATGCGAAAATTTGCTTTGAAAGCCTTGGACGACCCTGAATTAGACCATTATTTACAACAAGTTCCGGCGGCTTGACGACCCGAATTAAAAATTTTGGGTAAATCGGTGGTTAATTTAGTTGCGGCTGGTTTAACTCCTGATTTACTTTATGAATTAATACCAGTTATGCTGGAAGAGATGGAACAAAAAACAAGCAGTCAAGAAGTCCAAAAGCGAGTGTTTTCTATTTTAGTTAAATATTTAAAAAAATGAGTTAGTCAAAAAAAACTTTATATCAAAAAAGCTGCTCCGACTGGCTCCCACTCTATAAATTTAATTCAACAAACTTTTAAGCACTTGGATAGTTCGCAACAAATTCACCAACTTCAAGCTGAAATTAACCGCTTACAAACCCGCATTTATGAGTTAGAAAAAGCCCAGCAAAAGGAAAAAATTCAAATTGAACAGCAAAAATTAGCCCAACAGCAAAAAAAACTAGAAAAAATTCAGCAGTTCGCCCAAACCGAAAATACCACTTCTAACCCACCCCAAATTTTATCTTTTAGTCCTCAATTGAATGAACTAGCCAAAAAATTAGAGCAATTTGACCATAAACAAACCGAAAATAGATGAAGCGGTGGAAAAATTGCCTTAATAACTATTAGTTGTTTTCTGGGAGGTGGTTTAATAGTTTTCTTACTTTGATTTGCCTTTCGCAAGTCAAAAAGTTATTAGTGTCAAAAGTTTTTACTTATCAAGATTGTTGAAACTATTTTTTTAAGTCTTTTATCGCCACAAACTAATTTAAATGAAGTCCAAACCCGCGATTTAATTAGGCTTTGTCAAACTACTCCGGCTCAGTTTGGGCGGAGTTGGCAAGCAAAAATTTTAACTGCTCTTAATTACCGCCAAATCTGCCGTAAAATTCGGCTCTACCAAACTAAAAAAGTTCCAGTAGCTTATTTAAATAAAGCAGTCTATTTTTACAATCTAGTTTTTTAAAATTGAAAAAGGGATATTAATTCCTCAAAAAGATACTGAAATTTTGCTAGAAAAGACCATAGAACTCATTAATAAGTATTGACCTAAATCAAAAAACTTAAAAATCTTAGATATCGGCACTGGTTGTGGAAATTTAGCCGTTTGTTTAGCCAAAGTCAATCTTCACTGGAAATTAACTGCTATTGATATCAGTCCTAAGGCTTTAAAAATAACTAAGAAAAATGCTACTATCCACCAAGTAAAAAACTTAAAAGTTATATCCAGTAATTTATTTAAAAATTTAAAAGGTAAATACAATGTAATTATTACTAATCCGCCTTATATTAGTGAAAAAGAATACGAAACTTTGCCTTTTTCTACTAAACAACAACCTAAGCGAGCCTTAGTAGCCAAAAATAATGGTTATTGGTTTTACGAAAAAATTATCCAGCAAGCTCAACCATATTTAACTAAAAATTTTCTCTTGATTATGGAAATTGGCTATCAACAACAAGACAAAGTTATAAAATTAATAATAAAACATTTTTTTTCCGCCAAAGTTGCTATTTTTCCCGATTACGGAGGTCATTCCCGAGTAATAGCAATTTATAAGTATAATTCGCCTTGTTAGCTCAGTTGGTTAAGAGCGTCTGACTGAAGATCAGAAGGTCCCCCGTTCGATCCGGGGATAAGGCACCATAAAAAAACAAAATGTTCGGCATTAAATACACTTTTAATAAGTTAAATGATACGCAAATTAAATATCAATTTAAATTTGATAATGAAAAAATCCTGACTTGAAATGATTTTATTAACTTATTAAAAGCCGGAGGTCAAGAGTTAGTGGAATCTCTTAAACACGCCAATTCTCAACTAAAAGGAGCTTATTTTTGAGAGTGTCCGCCGATAACTAAAAATACTTTGGATAAGCCGTTTGAATGTGTGGTAATTAAAGCACCGGCATTAGATAGTATTAAGCAAGATTATTCCTTATTTCAAGAGTATATTAATCGCAACAAAACTTTTTTTACCAGTCGGAGTGGAAACACTTTAATTATTCCTCGACCAGAAAAAAATGAAAACGGGCAAGAACTAGATTATAAAAACTTAACTAGTTTTATCCAAAATCTTCCGAAAGTTAGTATCAATAAAATTTTTTGACAAGAAGTAGGTAAAAAAATGAGCGAAGCCTTAGAAGAAGACGATAAACCGAAATGATTATCTACTCATGGCTTAGGCATTCCTTATTTACACGTGAGAATTGATAGTAAACCCATTTATTATTCGTATGAAAAATATAAAGAGTTCACGGAAAACCAACCAAACCAACCAAAGCATCACCCGCCTAAGGCTTTGAGTGAGAAACCTAATAAGGATAAGCATGAAAATAATGCTAATAATAAGCTTAACCGCCAAAAAGAAAAAATTCTCTGCAATTTAGATAAAATAACTTTTGACCGAGCCGGACATTTAGCCAATGCTGAACTGCTGAAAGGAGCTGATATGAGCCTAGCCGAACAAGAGAAAGCCGGAGCTTATCAAATAAAAATAGAGGGCGAAGAAATAAATTTACGGGAATTCGAACGCCTAGAACAAGAAAAAAATTACTTGGAAATTAGAAAAAAATTTGTGGATAACCTTAAAAAAAATATCTCTGATTGAGAAATTAAAAAAGATAAAGATAATCACTATATTTTACAAAACAAAAAGAGCGGAGTAAAAGTTTGAACCATAATTTTTTCGGATTTATACGAAAATGGAGAAAAAGATTGAGCCGAAATTGAAACAGCCTTAAAAGCA